AAAGGAGCGGGATGGGGTCTTGGGAAAGGGGCGAGAGTTGGGGTCTTGGGAAAGGAGCAAGAGTTGCAGTCTTGGGAAGGAATGTTATGGGGCCTTGAGGAGAAACAAGTATGGGGTCTTGGGAAGGAGTGTGAGATGGGGTCTTGGGAAGGGATGTTATGGGGCCTTGAAGAGAAACAAGTATGGGGTCTTGGGAAGGACTGTGAGTTGGGGTCTTGGGAAGGAGCAGGTATAGAGTCTTGGGAAGGAATGTTATGGGGCCTTGAAGAGAAACAAGTACGGGGTCTTGGGAAGGAGTAGGATGGGGCCTTGCAGGAGGCCAAGCCCTTGTTGTAAAGGCCAAACCACAATGCCATCTGTTGTTTTTGTTGGCCATGACCAGGGCAAAACCGTCATCCAGGCGGAAATCGACGCGGCGGCGGAGCTGATCGACTTCTTCCGCTTCAACGCCAAGTTTGCACTGGAGCTGCAGGGCAGCCAGCCGCTCAGCGTGGAGCCCAGCACCAACAGCATGGTGTACCGGGGTCTGGAGGTGAGCAGCCAGGCAAACTCACAGCCACGGGGTGTCGTGGGGTGCTGTAGGGTGACATAGGATGCGACAACCTGTCCTTTTCCTCTTCATTCCGTAGGGTTTTGTGGCGGCTGTTTCTCCCTTCAACTTCACAGCCATCGGTGGCAACCTGGCAGGCGCCCCAGCTTTGATGGTGAGCATCATGGAATGATGTTTCCTTGTTTTGTCCACCAGTCTCAACCCCAAATCTCCGGGATCCAGACCCTAAATCTCTGAATGATTTGCACATGGGGATAGAGGAGCTCTTTTGGGCCATTTCTAAAATTGGGTCCAAAACTGGGCACCTCCATGCTCAGCCCAGCCACAACCTTCTAGACCCCCTCCTGAATTTTGTTATTAGGCTCAGGGGATGTTAATTAGTCAGACATTCCCCTGGCTGCTGGGTAGACCTGTCCACCAAACAGCTTTGATGGGTAAGTGTTGGAAAAAGGGAAAACATTCCCAAAATCTGAGAAGTGCCCCCTCCTTGGAGACATTAAAGGCCAGGTTGGATGGGGCAGCCTGATCTGATGGGGGGGCACCGGCCCAATTCAGGAGTTGGAACTGGATGCTCTTTAAAGTCCCCTCCAACCTAAACCATTCCATGATTCACCCGTAGGTTGGGCTTTACACAGAGAGCAGCTTGGGGTGCCCTAATAGCTGGGTGTTAATTAACCCCCAGCAGGTGTTAATTAATCCCAGGGTGTTCTCCTCTATGCACTGCACTACTGAACCTTGCTCATCATTGCAGTGATGGTGACACAGGGCAGGTCACGAGCTGCAGCCACGGTGGGGGCACAGAGCCAAGGGGGTGGGAGCACAGCAGGGCCACTGCCCTGCGTCTTGCAGCCAATTGCGCTGTTTGTTTGGGCTCTGTTAATACATGCTTGGGAGGTTGCTCTGCTCCCTCAGCTGGCATTGGGTCACGTGAAGGCTGGAAGCCTCTCCCCGTGCACTCACTGTGTTCTGTCTGCAGGGAAACGTGGTGTTGTGGAAGCCCAGTGACACGGCCCTGCTTTCCAGCTACGCCGTCTACAAAATCCTGCTGGAAGCTGGGCTCCCTCCCAATGTCATCCAGTTCGTGCCAGCAGATGGACCTGTGTTTGGTGATGCTGTCACCAGCTCTGAGCACTTCTGTGGGCTCAACTTCACTGGCAGCGTGCCGTAAGTCGGGGTGGGGAAGCACAAGGAGCTGCTTTAACCAAAAACCACGGAGTGAAAGGGGAAGAGGAGCTTCTGCTGAGTGCTCTCTGCTCTGGGTTTTGCGCAGTGCCCAGCGCTTTGATATCCAAGGTCTTTTTCTCACCAACATCTCTTCCATTTGCAGAGCATCCCTTCTTTGGGGATGGCCAGATGGGTTTGTTGGGGGTGTCACAGCAAAGTCAGGGCCATGCCACACCTTTCCCATGTTTCCCACACCTCCTCCTTTCTCCCCCAGGACTTTCAAGCGCCTCTGGAAGCAAGCATCCGAAAACTTGGACCGCTACCGCAACTTCCCACGCCTGGCTGGAGGTGAGCTCCCATTTTGGGGAGGGCGCACAGCGAGCACCGCGGATACCCCATCCCTATACCTCGTGCTAACTCCTCTCTTTCTCCTTTTCTCTCCACCAACCAGAGTGTGGGGGTAAGAACTTCCACCTGGTGCACAGCTCGGCCGACGTGTCCAGCGTGGTGAACGGCACCCTGCGCTCCGCCTTCGAGTACGGCGGCCAGAAATGCTCGGCGTGCTCCCGCCTCTACGCCCCGCGTTCGCTGTGGCCCCAGATCAAAGCCAAGCTGCTGGAGGAGACCAAGAAGATCAAAGTGGGAGACGTGAGTGGAGCTGCCGGGCTGCTGAAGGGCTTTGCGGCTCAGCGGGTGGCTGATGGGATTAGAGACTGCGGTAACTGGCTACTAATTCCTATTGAACCGAGCTTTTTATCCACTGGTTCTCCCCACCACCACCACCCCTCCACCTCCCCCCTCCCCCCCTTCCTTCATCTTTTTTTTTTTTTTTTAGTGATTAGAAATTAACTTGTAGCCAGCATCTGCGGGAAGGATTCAGCAAAGCGCTGAATACCGTGGGCTAATTGAAAAAGGGGAGGTTGGTCCCTCCAAACGGAGGTGTGCTTTGGGGAAGGGATGCGTTGGTTGTGGGAATTTCAGTTTTAGGATCAGCTTTTTGGCACAATGTTGACCCCAGGCCCTGGTGGTTGCATGTCCTCGTGCTGTCTCCTCCAACTTTCAGCCCAGTGCATTCATTAGGAGCAACCCACATCAGTTGGACACAATGATCTTGAAGGTCTTCTCCAACCTTAAGGATTCTATGGTCCTATGAGTGGATATGGTGGGGTTGGGTTGATGGTTGGACTAGATGACCTTGGAGGCCTTCTCTAACCTTAAGGATTCTATGGTCCTATGAGTGGATATGGTGGGGTTGGGGTGATGTTTGGACAAGATGACCTTGGTGGTCTTCTCCAACCTTAAGGATTCTATGATTGGGCATAGTGGAGATGGATTGATGGTTGGACTAGGTGACCTTGGAGGTCTTCCCCAACCTTAAGGGTTCTATGAGTGGACATAGTAGGGATAGTTTGGCACGATGAGTTGTACTTGATGATCCTGGAAGTATTTTCTAACCTTAATGATTCTATATTGTCTTGTCTTTGCCTCTGCAGCCTGTCCAGGACTTTGGGACCTTTTTCTCAGCAGTGATTGATGACAAGGTGAGCTCACGCGTCCTGTCTGCATGAAGGTAGCACCACAAGGTAGACGTTTGGTTGGGTGGGGTTCATTACCCTTAGCAAAGCTTTGAACGTTATTCCAGGAGAATAACGAACCCAACTATCACATATTGCCCCATTCCTGAAGACATTAAAGGCCAGATTGGATGGGGCTCTGGGCAGCCCGGTCTGGTGGGGGGCAACCAGCCCATGGCAGGGTGTTGGAACTCAATGATCTTTAAGCATCGATGCTCTTTAAGGTCTCTTCCAACCTAAACCACTGCATGATATGTCGCTGCCTCTTCTGAGAAGTGGGATATCTTGCTGAGAAACCATCTCAGATATAAGGCTCAGTGCACAGCCCTCATCCTGAGCTGGAAGCGAGCAGCACAATCCTGAAAAGCAGCACCCAAAACTCACCTCCAGCCCTACTTTGATGACAAATGTAAGGTTACGTACACCTTTCATCACCCTTCCTTTCCTCAGTCTTTTGCACGTATAAAGAAGTGGCTGGAACACGCCAAGACGTCCCCCAACCTCAGCATCTTGGCTGGGGGTGGCTGTGATGACAGCGTTGGGTACTTCGTTGAGCCGTGCATCGTGGAGAGCCAGGACCCAACAGACCCCATCATGAAGGAGGTGAGAGTGGGGAAAACACAGGATGTGGATCCACATCTTGGGCAGCACGTTGGCTGGTTGATGGTATTTGCTAACCTAACCTGGTGTTAATTTTTTAGATGCTGGCGGTTGGAGGAGGCTGGTTTATATAAAATGTTTGAGTTATATGATTTGTGTTTTTGCTTTTCAGGAAATTTTTGGGCCCATCCTCACCGTTTACGTGTACCCCGAGGAGAGGTACCAGGAGGTGTTGGAGCTGATCGACACCACAACACCGTATGGCCTCACGGGGGCGGTGTTCGCCCAGGAGAGGTGAGCAGGGACCGAGTGGGGACAGGAGGAGGGGACAAGAGGAGGGGGCCGCCGGGGTGTCGGTCCTCCCATCCCCTCCCAGCCACCAGCCTATGTTCCAGCCCCTTAGGGCTTGCATAGTGTACTTTTTTGGTTAGAAACTGGTTTCGAGAATCCTGTTTTGAGTTTCTTTGTACCATGGGGGAAAAAGAGATTAGGAGAAGAATTAATTATTTCATTACTTAAGAAGCCTAGAAGAAAACAGGGGCACTATTTCTAAGCAATGAGGAGAACCAGAAGCTTTTTAGATTGTATGAAGAGCAACTTGTTGCATTGCATCTTTGCGTTGCCGTATTGTATTGCTTTGTTGTGCTGTTGCACTGTGTTGTTTTCTAATTTAACACTTTTTGTTGTTGTTGTGAGAAAGTTTGAGGCTCACACAAAACAGATAGGGAATTAATTTTTCAATGAATACTTAAGAATAAACCAAATATTAGTGAAACTAGTGAGCAGGTGTAGAATAAGTAACCTAGGAGGTCATTAAACCCAACTTACTGGTCATTAGGATGAGTTGTCCTAACTTAGGAGGTCATTAAGTTGGGCTGTCCTTGGACTTAGGTATAAAGAACTTCATTTTATAACAAAGAATCTTGAAAAGGAATTAGAAGAGAGAACTGCAGTCATTTAATCGAATTTCAAGCACACAGATCCCATTGGAGCACAAGTTGAACGTGGCTTGGCAAAACATGCGGTCCTGGAGGTGCAAGCAAAGGAAAGCAGTGCCCAAATTTGCTGCTGTTAGGGTTAGAGCAGAGGCCCCCAGTCATGTTTTTGTCATTCCCCCCCATGCTGACATCCACCCATCCTTCCCCAGGAGCATAATTGAGGAAGCCCGGAGCCGTCTACGCAACGCAGCCGGCAACTTCTACATCAATGACAAGTCAACGGGCGCCGTTGTGTCCCAGCAACCCTTTGGGGGCTCCCGCATCTCAGGTGAGACCCTTCAAAACCCCCTTCTTTCAGCAGCACGATGGGACACATCCCCTCCAACCGCATCTTTCACCCTGAGCTCCTGAGGTTGTACTTCTCATCGAATCACTCACGTTGGGAAAGTCCACCACGATCGCCGAGTCCAACCGTCAACCCATCATCACCCATGCCCACTAAACCACATCCCTTTTTTTTTTTGCCCCCAAAACAGGAACCAACGACAAGCCTGGTGGCCCCCACTACATCCTACGCTGGACATCTCCCCAGGCCATCAAGGAAACCCACGTGCCTCTGTCAGACTGGCGCTACGCCTACATGCAGTGATGCCTTCCCCCAACCCGTGCCCTACTACTGATGCTCGACGCACACCGTGGCTTCCTGCCACAGCCTTGAAAGCACTTCAATCAACAGCTCTTTAGCAAAAGTTTTATTTTTAGGGGGTGATTCTTTTTATTAAGTTAACTCACACGAAAACAGTGTTTAAAAAAAAAAAAAAAAAAAGGACTCATTTAGCTGCAGCAAATCCACAGAGCGCCGTGGCCTTTGGGAATCGATTCCTCTGCTCTGTGCTCTAAGAGGGCAGTGCCCCATGCAGGAGTAACACTTCTTCCACCACCTAAGGGCTTTTCCATTGCATATCACAAGAGCTAACAGCACTGTGCCTCTTCAGAGGGCTTTGAGCTCACCAAGGGATGCTGGATCCAGTTTCCCTTTACCCTTCTGATGAGTGTCCGATGTCCTCAAAGCATCCTTTTATGCATGGACAGAGCCTTGCACAGCAAAGTGAATGGAATTGAGGGACTTACCAGGAAGTTTGGTTTAAGCCAGTGTGAGATGCAGTGGGAGCCTTGAGCCTTATCTTTTCTTTGCTTCTGAGCAACGTCTGCAGAAGGCACATTTTGCCAAGAGAGGGCAGCTGCGAGCTCGGTGCTGCTTAGAAATTATCCAAAGTGCCTTATTCCACTGCAGAAGGCACTTCCAAGGCTGCATCCCTCCCGTGGGCTCAACAGCTCCGACGTGGTCCCCAAGTTTCCTTACCCATGGGGATGCCCAGCTGTCCCCACGTGTCCCATCGTTGATCCTTGGACGTCAACTGGAAGAAGTGGAGAGGTTTTCTAGAACCCTCAGTGCCATTCTGCACAAGTGGCTGCAGCATCCCTCACCCCAAAGGCTATCAGGATTTACAGATAGTGTGGCTAACCCTGTTACAGCTGCTGCAATAAGCACTGAAGTATCAATCTTGTCCATGCCTGGGCAGGTATTCAGCACGCAGGTGAAGAATGAGTTGCACTAACACCTGCAAATCCAGGCTTAAGTGATGAAAATCGCAATAAAATGCATTGCAAAAACTTTTTGTGCTGTTTTAATGAGTTATTTCTTCCAGTTGTTGCTAAAGGATGAGCTGAGACAAAGCATGTGTTTGGTGTGTGCAGTGTTATGAGCAAGGATGGGAGCGATGAGTGAGAATAACACCAATAATAGCCACCGTAATAATAGTCATAAATAATGATAATAATAAATAATCTCCCGTGGGAAACTCCTCCTCCTTGCAGCCTTTGGGAGATAAAATAGCTTTGGGTGCTGAATACAGGGGAAGGGACATCCTTGGTGCCCTGTTCCAGGGAGCTGTGAGCCGCTGCCTTTGGCTCAACGCCTTTTAGGACTTAAGGGCAAGGTGTCAAGTGGATTTTTGAGCCTTAACTCCGATTTTCATGGCTTTTGTGGCTTCAAATCAGCCCCCTAATGCTATTGAAGCAGTTGGCTTTTTGAAGTTGGGAGTGCGCCGGGGGGGGATCACAAGATTCCTTGGGTGCTTCCATGCCTGCAGGGATGGGGAATGGAATTGACTTTGAGGAAAGCGATGGGGAGAAAGGAACAGCTCTTCTACCTCTGGAAAAAAAGGCATCAGAGGATAAAATATGATCAGAGAGATGCAGAGAGAGCGCATGTGGGACTTTCCCACAGTGCAGATGGAAAACCCAAGCAGCAAGAAGGGGATGGGGTGTGGATGTTGGCCCTGTTCAACAAATAAACGCAGCCCCTCCAAAATGCTGCGGAGCCATGGAGAGCTCGCTAATATTTGGCATTTTTGTGCTAAAGCCCCAGGTCCTGGAGTCATGAGAATACAGCAGGATGTCAGCCTCCAGCTAGAGTAAATAAAGCCTGGCTTCCATCCTTGGGGCTGGAACTGCGTTGTGTGACCCTTTGGGGCCAGAAGAAAATCCCAGAAAGCAAATAAAGGGGCACAGAGACCAGCCTGCTCCCACCTATGCCATGGGATGCTCCGGATTTCAGGGACTCCAATCCCACCCGCGCCCTGGGGATCAGCATCACGTGCAGCATCGCATCCTTCGGGTGTTTAAAATGTATCAGCAGTACCATCACCGCCTCTGTTTTCCATCCTTCAGTGATAAGGCATCGGCGTGTACACAGCACCCAGAAAATCACCAACAAACACCGCTTCCTCCCCCCTCCTCACACCAATTATTAACATCATCACAGCGGCAGACCCGCTCAGGCTCTATTCTCATTTAAGATTTTCTTTCTTTTCTGTGCTTTTATATATATATATATTTTTTTTTGCCCCCCTACTCCACATCCTGGAGATCACAAACGTGACATTTCGGTGCTGGAGTCGTGGTGCCATGCGGGCAGAGTGGGTGATGACAATCGATTCTCCCCGGATTGTCCAGCAGTGCCATCCAAAACTGAGCAAACTGAGTTTAATCAGAGCAAAATCAGCCCTTCCGGCAGCTTTCCTTTATTATTATTATTATTATTGTTTTTAATTCTTATTTTGTATTTATTTTGTTTTCTCCCCAGCCTGTGAAAATGCACAACATCCCCAAGTGGGGCTCAGGACATAACGGTGGGGGAAGAGGGGAGGAAATTGAAGTGGCTGGCTTTGGGTCCATCCAAAAATGTTTTATGGGGTTCTGGGGGGCTGTAGACATTAGGGTGAGTTGGGCTTTGGGGTCCTGGTGGGGTGTAGACATTAGGGTGAGCTGGGCTTTGGGCTCCCAGCTCCAAGCATCTCCATTGGTGTTCCTTGGGTGGGATAATGGGATGGAGTCTCTTCTAGGAATGGTGGCAGGGAATCCTCCAAAATGGGTCCTGGTGGTAAACTGAACCCCCATATGGCATTTATGGCACTCTGTATTTACAGCTGTGTGCCAACACCAGGGAATCCCTTCTTGGTGTTTGGGTGCAGAGCTGTGCTGTGCTCGTTTTGCAGATGGGAATGTTGAAGCACAGCAATGGGAACAGCTGCACCCAGACCCCATTTCTGCCCCATTGCAAACAGCAGCAGAACATGGGGCTCCCAGCCTTTGGCTCCATCCACCGGAGTGACGCCGCCCCCCAGGAATGTACCCCCCTCCCACCCCATCCCAGTGCAATGCTCTAATCCAGGGGACACTTTCAGACAGCTGCACTGCACAGAGCCCTGACATCAGCAGGCAGCTATGAGGTCTGCTTGGCACAGTGCTCTTTCTGTAGGGCTGGCTGCCTGAGAGGGGGGGAAACAGGGACACATGTGTGGGATTTCATTTCCCTGTTAGGGAGTGAATATGGGAGGAGGTGAATCATTGCCTTTTCTCCTACTTCAGCTACTGTATTGGGAACTGCCTAGCCCTTTGTGGCACCCCATCCCTCTGGGGTGAATTGAGACTCCCCTAAAGGACACAGGTGACCATGAAGCCTTTGATCCTAATTAGGATATGATGTATTTTCATCATGTCAATTTTGTCAACAGTGCTGGAAACTGCTCCTGGCCCAAAGCTCCCCAAGCATTCCCATCTCTGAGCATCTTCATCCCTAAGCATCCCCATCCTTGAGCACCTCATCCCTGAGCATCCCCATCCTTGAGCATTCCCCCACCCCAAGCGATATCTTTGTGACGCTGATTTACTGCAGCCCAGCCTGCGGGGAAGGTGGTAATTCCCTGCCAACACCTGCATTTTCTGCCTCTCCCACTTGTCAGCTCCTTTTAACAGCAGCAGATAACTCGTCCCTGGCTCCTGATGGTGATATCCCCCCACGTTGGGCACCAGGGCCAGCAGCTGTGCACAGAGCAGCTCTCATTTTTCTGTTCCAACCCTGGGGGACTCAGCCGTAACCTCCCCACTAAGGCTCTGGCACCATTTCAGACCCTTCCCCTGTCCCAGGCGGGTGGAAGCCAGCTGCGATGCCTCCTCACAGCCTGGGAAAATAACTCAAGGACTTTTCCTTGAGAGCCCTGAAATCTGAGTGGCCGCCATTCCTGCTGCCCCCTCCCTTCCTTTTCAATTTCCCTACCCTACACAGCCCTCAATTTGGAATTTAACGTTCTTCCTCCCTTTTCAGGTCTGGATTGGGCCACCCATCCAGCACCCTACAAGGACTCTGAACACTATGCCCACCCCCCCCATAAATAACAACCCATTTCTTCACCACGCCATCATTTTTTGAGGTTACATATCCAACTATTCCAAGATTTTCCTTGAAATCCCACTCTTTTTTTCCACGGCCATGAGACCATACCTACTGGATAAGGAGATGGGACGATGTCTCTATACCTCCTTGGGCTCACAGCCCACAGTTCGAAGAACCCACATCTATTTCTTGGGAGATCCCTCAGTAAACTAAGCCACAGCAGTTAAAAATGCTATTTATCCCTGATTTTAGATGTTCACTCGTAGTGTATCTTGACAACAAGGTGTAAAGAGATTTCACAGCATCTCAGCACCACAGAGCGTGGACAGCGCATGATTGGAGATGGACCCTCAGCCCCCCAGGAGCAGCACATCAATGAGCACACCCCTGTTCTACCAACCAGAACCCCCCAGATGATGATTTCTGTCGTTGATTAACATTAAGAACAAGTGTTACTGTTAGTATGCACCTCCTGCAGGAGGACAGGGCTGGTGGGAAGGATGGGTCCCGCTGGGTCTCCAGCAAAGCTTTGGGTGCGCATCCCAACCCATCCCATGGATGGTGGATCAACAATTTGTTCCAATCCCCCCAGCCTCATCGGGTTTCAGAAATGGGAAAGATGCACAGATGTGCAGCCTCAGTCCTATGGCTTTGGTTTGAGATTGGATTGACAACCGTACGCAGTTGGATTTTGGATTCAGGTTCAGGCACAGCTGAGAGCTGTTATCCCAGCACTATGACCAAACGTGATCAATAAATTTGGTGGTGGGGACAGAAACAGACAGGAAGGTTTCCAGAGCAGGAAATCCAACCTTCAAGACAAAGCCTGAGCTCAGGGATCCTAATGCTGGCCTCCATCCCCATTTGCCAATCATCACTCAAACCAAAATCTCTTTATGTTTGGCCAAAAGCAGGTTCACAGATGCTGGCGTCAGTGCTGCGTCCTCCTTGGGGCAATTAAATGGGTTGTGAGGGAGATCTGATTCCTTCCCTCCAAAGGCAGGAATGCAGTGCTTCCAAACCACAAGAGGGGCTGGACGCCTTCTCCTACTCCACCCTTGGCATTGCCCTTGGCAACAGGAATGCAAGTTGGCAGTTTTTAGCAGGAATCAGTCTTGTGAGGTTCTTACCAGCTTCCCCATACAGCCTCCCAAATATTTATTTTAAAAATTCTTCCACATATTCCCCATCCCATCCCCTTTTCATCTCCACACATACCTGGCCAATACAGAAACGTAAAGTCTATGAGCAACACATCCCACATTTGCCCATGGGGGTCCTCAAAGGAAGGAACATTCCTTCCCCTGGCAGTCAGCGAGTGATTGAGTTGGAAAAGGAAAACTGGGGAGTGGAGTAGCACAGGGCTGCTCATATCTAACATCTGTCTGCCCAATTTAGATTGAGCTTCCTGATAGAGAAGAAAGGTTTCATCTCCCACAGAGATGGAATGAACTTTGGGGCTCACTGCTCCTAACCATGCAACTTTGAGGTGCCATGTCTCTATTTGTTATTTCAGGGAGGCTCCCATTGCTCTTCATCACATTCAGGTGCTTTCCCGTCACCTCACACCCGAAGTGCTGGGGATGTGACAAAGCAGAACAGCTCAGCTGACATCCTGTGAATTAATCAGTGAGAGGGAACCAGCTTTGATTAAATTAGAAACTTGCCAACTAATAGGGATGGCCCTCGGTAAACAAGGGACTGGGAATGGTAGGGAGGGAGCAGCATGAGAAGGGATGACTTAGGCTGCAAACACAGAGAGATCTTGGGGTTAAAGGGAGGCTAGAACAGATCCCAAAGTATCATCTCCTCCCATTTGGGGAGCATTTATCCCCACATTCATACATATGGAATAATGCTGAGAGCTTTGTCCCTGTCCAAAAGAGATAGAAAATAAATAAAATGGGTTTTACAATGAGCTGCTGACTCTTCCTGG